AAAAAGACAAAGATGCAAACACTGAGTTTTCATCTGATTAACTGTTAAATATTGTGATCTTTAGTTGGTCATCATTTTGCCAATTCAATTATAGCATAATTTCTATAATGAAGAAAAATATTTATTCTGCCAAAGGGCATTATATTGACCAATTGGAAATGCTTAAAAGAATAATACACAATTTAGTCCATTTAGCCTCTGTGGAAACAGTAAGTAATTAATATTCTGTCATTCTGATTCTTAGTCTATTCAGAGATCAGAGACAAAGAATTTTGGTGAGAGCAGGAAAATGAGTTTCTGCTCTGTACTTTGTCCCCTTCTCTAATAGTGGAGGCAAGACTTACTTTCCTTTGGCTACCTGCTGAAGCCAAAGACTCAAACCTCCAGCAAAGCCTCCACTCTCAGTTACTCATTTGGCTCAGAGAGAAAATTTCGCACTTGTTGACTATGAAAGTAAATAAGTTCTCTTAGATGTGAAATGTTCGCATGTGAGCAGTGAGTACCTTTTTTTTAGGCAGAACACATATTCATTTTCTCCTAAAGTAGGTGTGCAGCAGGATGATAAAAGGGTGTGTATTTATGTCATAGTCTCTTATAGGAGAATACATTTGCTTAGAATTAGGCAAACTGCTCATTTACCTGGAGTAATTGCTGCTTTTGGGTAGCCAGATGGTGAACACCCTTGTTCAAAGTAGGGTACCTTAATTTAGATCCAGATGGTCGGATTGAAAAGGGAAATTTACCCAAAGTAAGTGAAGAGTTTATTCATTTTCAACAAGGAGATTGTCTTTGTTTGACAAACTTTGACTGGGCTTGTAACATGACAAAGTGACCGAAGACAGAATAAAAACAAAAGTTCTTTTTCTATCCGTAAGTGACTGCTTAGAGAGAAACTGTGATCTCTGAGTGGAATGAAAGAATAATTATTTTGGTTTTTAAGGAGACTTGGGATCACTCTGGAAAAATCTGGTGGAAAACTTGGAGGATTTTGTCTTTGAGTAGGCATTTGTGCTCTTGCGGCGTTACTGTATTTGGGTTGGTGCTTGGCAATTTTTCTGGGATGGGTTAATTAATAACTGTGATGTTTAATAAAAGCAAGAAAACTACCATGCTGCTTTTATGCTGAAAGCAGCCTCATATTCCCTGTTCACTTTGGTGAGCAGATAGTTTTACAAGAGCAAGTGGGAGCACGTAGATTTTTATCCCCTCATAGAAGACTGTGAACTGAAAAATCCCAAGAACTATTTATTTCTGTAAAAACATTTTTTATAGGCTTCTGGATGGATTTAGCTCATTTATTTTTTCTGTCAGGCACTCATAGCCATATAGTGAAACTGTGTCCAATTGGTCACAATTCAAAATGCCACTGGTAAGCTAAGTCTAAGAAGTACCTGTGCATGCAGTGAAAAAACAAGACAAAAACAAAACTCTGATCACTTAATACAGACTCATCCAAGGATGAGGATTCATACAGTTGGTGCTTATCTTGCTGTGTGTTTTTGTCGATGTCGTCTGATTTGATCACCCTGGATAGTAATGAAGTGCACAATGTCTTTGACGGAGTTCAATTAGATTCTGTTTGCATTTATTCAGTGCAACTTCAAACAGAGCCTATCTGCTGTGGCTCCTTTCTAAACCAACATGGACCTGCTACTGGCTTTCCTAGTATTTGTTTGGTTTCATAAAGACGTATGTATTTCCTGTACCTATTTTGCTGCTATGTGTCTGGCTGGGCTTGAGACAGCACAGCAGTGTGACGCTTTCGTTTTGTTGAGGTTGGTAAAACTTGTGCTCTGTGATTGTAAGAACTGGACCAACCTCTTCCAGTCTGATTCAACCAGCGGAGTAGAAACAGTGGAGCAAAAAAGAGTTAATCTTTGAGATATGAGCACTTCACAGTTTGGAAGGAAGGGCTTCTCTGGTTCTCTCCTGAGCTCATCCTGCACTCTCCAGCAGTGATCTTCTTCCTCGCTGTCAGGCCACCACTGCCATTACCTTTGCCATCATGGCCATTATTTTAAACAATTATTTGCATGTTCTTTACATCCTTCCAGAGCTAGTGGCCAGATGTCTCCAGAGTTTTCCAAGTTTTTTTAATCAATGCCATTCTGCTGTCTACTATGAGAGTGGATGG